GAGGACATGATCAGGCACTATATCAAATGAAAGGATTATTATGTTATTATTAATGCTCAGTAAATGTTTGGTATCATTCCAGATAATGAAAATTATCTCATTCCAGATAAGGAAAATCGGACCACTCATGTATAGAAGCGTCAGCAGAGGGATCAGCTGTACAAAAAGCAAAGGGCGCTGCGCGATTATTGCAGTGTTGTGTGTAAAAATAAAACTACCACTACCTGAATTTGCCCCCTAAACTTCATGCAGGATAACAACAACAACTTGCACTTATATAGAGTCCTCCACACAGGGTAGCATCTCAGAACCTTAACAGTGGCAGGCGGAGTCTGAATCCGAGCCGGTGGTTGGGGATGGGGAGAAGGTGGCCGTAAGCACGGTCGAAAAGGAAGGTTTTCAGGTGGGACTTGAATAAGAGGAGATAGGGGCAAGGCGAAAGGATTGAGGGAGTGTGTTCCAGAGCTTCGGGGTGTAGTGGCTGAAAGCGCAACCTCCAATGGTGGGGTGGAGGGTGCAAGGAACAAGCAGGAGGCTCGTGCCAGTCGAGCGGAGATGCCAGGTGGTGGATTGGGGTGTGAGGATGTCAGAGAGGTAGGGAGGTACCAGGGAGTGAATGGATTTGAACAAGAGTGTGAAGATCTTGAAGTCGATCCATTCGGTGAGGGAGCCAGTGGAGCCTGGCCAGAACTGGTGACATGTGGGTACAGAGTTTAGTCCGGGTAAGTATGTGGGCAGCAGAGTTCTGAATGAGGTGGATCTTTTGAAAAGTGGAGCTGAGGAGAACGGCTAGGAGTGAGTTTGAGTAATCCAAGTGGGAAGTGACAACGGCATACACCAGGGTTTCAGCTGCATTTTGGTTAAGGTGCGGTTGGAGATGGGCAATTTTGCAGAGGTTGAGGAAGAGGGTCCTGGTCAGGGACCAGATGTGGGGAAGGAAGGACACATGTGGATCGAACCGGATGCCTAGTTTGTACACTGGTTCGATGAGGCTGAGGGAGGTTGAGGAGTTCAGATCCGCAGGAGTGAAGACGTTGACGGGAGACAAAGAGCCTTGTCCACATTCAGCTGCAGGAAGTTTATACTCATCCTGATGTCTGATGGCCCTGATGTCTGCCAGACGAGCTGATAGAACATCGGCGGACCTGGAATCATTAACGTCATAACATCTCAGAACACTGCACAGTGATGGCATTGAGGTTTTGAGTGAAAGGAGGAGAGGGAGGTGTCCATAGGTGCAGTTTTAATAGTGGATAGGGAGGGGTGAAGATGGCGGGAGGGAATTCCAGAGGTTAGGGGTACAGTGGTTAAAGGCTTGGTCTCTGATGATGAGGTGGACAGGGGTCAACAACAACGAACAACAAATTCCATTTATATAAGCACCATTCACATCGGGAGGATGTCCCAAGGTGTTGAACAGTGAAGGATTTGCCCGAGCTGGGGATGGAATCAAGAGGCATGAAGACCTTGAGATGGGCCACAAAGGAGGAAAGGGAGAGGGTGAGGTGGAGTGGCTCTGCGATGGGGAGGTGAGAGCAGAAAGACTAAAGTCCCGACCAACGATGGTGGAGCAGGCAGGGCAGGTGTTGTGAAGCAAGTGAGTGCCAACCATGTGGAGGGTGCGGACACATTGGTAAAGATTTCACAGGTCACAGAGGTAGGGAGGAGCAAGACCATGGAGGGCTTTAAGAATGAGGAGAAGGATCTTGAACTCGGTCCTCTGGGGGATGGGGAGCTCTCATCCAGGACTTGATGTCTGGCAGACAGTCTGTCAGGACAGCAGTGGTCCTGGAGTCGAGGGTGGAGGCAGAGCGATACATGTGGAAGTTGACCCCACGTCTGCGGATGGTGTCACCAAGAGGGAGCATGTAGAAAGGATAAGACCAAGGACAGAGCCCTGGGGAATGCTGTATATAATGGTGCGAGGGCTGGAGGAGAAGCCATTGATAGATGTAAAGGGGAGTCGATGGGAAAGGTAAAAACAACAACAACAAAATAACATTTATAGAGTGCCTTTTGCGTCGGGAGGACGTCCTCCCAAAGTGAAAGGCGCTCTATTAATGTTATTTTGTTGTTGTTGTAAGAACAAAACCAGGCAGAGAAAGAACCATGAAGGTGGAGCTGAGAGGTGAGTTGATAAAGAAGAATAGAGTGGTGAAAGGCAGCTGAGAGATCAAAAAGAATGAGAAGACAGAGAGAGCCCTAATCACAAATGGACACATTGTCATTTGTAACTTTGACCAAGGCTGTCTCTTTACAAGAGACAGGACGGAAACCAAATGGAGTGGTTCAAGGAGCAAGTGGTGGGAGAGGAAAAACCTAAACTGGGAAGCAACGACTCATTCCAGGATAACTGGTCACTCTAAGGAAAAAGAGCTCAGTGACAAGTCATCAGGAGCGACAAGTTAGGCATATATATAAGTACATAATAAATGAGGCCAGGAGATTGACCCTGGCTTAGTTTAACTTGTCGTGACAAGTTAGAGTGAGGGTCGAGTTATTAGGAGTTTACAGTATTTTATTTTGTAATGGAATGCATTTTCTCTCCCACCAAAGGCAAGCATCCAATCCCAGAAATTATTAGCCTCAGATTGGCAAAAAGCCCTAGATGTGTGTTTGTGGGTGTGACAGCTGGAGTTTAACTGGTTAATACAGTTTATCATTGAGAGCACTGCCTGGCAAGCTTCTCACCGGTTGTCCAGCTTGGACCATGCTACCGTTTAGGGCTTTGGCTTGCAGGTTTAGCAGGAGGTGCACACTTCCCTCTAGTCAGAAAAGCAATTGTTCACCACTACTCTTTGCTTTCTGCTAACCAGTTCCTTTTTAAATGTTCTATTGATTCAGCCGGACGTCGGTCTTGAAATTTTCCAGCAGGGAGGGGGAGGGGATAGAAACTTCCTTTTCTCCTACGGATCTAAACAGCTCAATCTCCCTGGGCTCTTCCTCAAACTCACTGAACCAGTTCGCAACCTCGGCATCCAGTTCAATCCCCAACTGTCCTTCCACACCCCCCATCACATCTGGTCCCTGCCCGGGACATCCTTCTTCCATCTCCGCCGTATTGCCCATCTCCGACTTTACATTACCCCAAATGCTGCCGAAACCCTCGCACATGAGTTTGTCACCTCCAACGCACTCCTCTCCGATCTCCCCAGCTCCACCTTTCACAAGATCAAGTTCAATCAAAACTCTGCTGCCTGCATAGTGACCTGGACCAAACTCTGTACCCACATCTCACCAGTTCTGGCTTGGCTCCACTGGCTCCCCATCACCGAATGGATAGACTTCAAAATCCTCACACTCAAATCCATTCACTCCCTGGCACCACTCTACCTCTCCGACTTCCTCACTTCCCAATCCACCATCCAGCGCCTCTGCTCGATTGGCACCGGTTCCAGCTCATCCCTCACACCCTCCACCCACCATTGAAGGTTGTGCTTTCAGCCACTATGCCCCAAACCTCTGAAACACTCTCCCTCAATCCCTCCGCCTTGCACCCTCTCTCCCCCTGTTTCAAGTTCTGCCTGAAAACTTTCCTGTTCAACCGTGCTCATGGCCACCATCTCCCCCCAGCCAAGAGTCAGACTCCGCCACTGTTAAGTGCTCTGAGATGCTATCCTGTGTGGAGGTCGCTATATAAGTGTAAGTTGTTCTCGTTGCTGTTTTCTTTTCAAGTTGTGTTGCGGGATCTTTAATGTCCATCTGAACAGGCACAGAGGGGACTTCAGCTTAATTTCTCATCCAAAATACGGCATCTTCAACAACGGAGCGCTCCCCCCAGCACTGCACTGAAGTGAAGGTGTAGACAGTGAGTTCAGAGCCTCAATGTAAAGCTTGGACCCCACGAACTTCTGACTCTCAAGCAAAAGTGCTACTGACTGAGCCAAGCTGCCAAATAATAATGATCCTGACATTGAAACACTTTATGGGAAATTGTTGTGAAGTGTAGTGACTGTTTCGGTGTCATGTATGCGGATGATACACAAATCTACTTTGCCTCCTCCAGTACCAACTCCAGATCTGCCGACGTTCTATCAGTGTGTCTGACAGACATCAGGATCTGGATCAGTGTAAACTTCCTGCAGCTGAATGTGGACAAGTCGGAAGCCATACTCCTTGGCTTCCGTCAACGTCTTCACTCCTGCGGATCTGAACTCCTCAACTTCCCTGGGCTCTGCCTCAGACTCACCAAGCCAATGCACAATCTAGGCATCTGGTTTGACACCCAGATGTCCTTCCTCCCCACATCCAGCCCCTGACAGGACCGCGTTCTTCCACCTCCACCGCATTGCCTGCCTCCGACCATACCTTACCCCAAATGCAGCCCAAACTCTCATGCATGCATTTGTCACCTCCTGCCTGGATTGCTCAAACTACCTACTCGCCGGTCTCCCCAGCTCCACTATCTAAAAGATCCAGCTCATTCAGAACTCTGCCGCCCACATAATGACCTGAACCAAGCTCCGTAACCCCATCTCACCAGTTCTGGTCAGCCTCCACTGGCTCCCCATTACCGAACGGATCGACTTCAAGATCCTCAAACTCGTGTTCAAATCCCTTCACTCTCTGGCACCTCCCTACCTCTTCAACAACAACAACAACAACAAGATTCCATTTATTGAGCGCCTTTCACGTCGGGAGGACGTCCCAAGGCGCTGTACAGTTGGGTCAGGACCCGAGCAAGGGGGAAATGGTCAGGGTGAGGGGAGGGAAGGGAGGGAGCGAGGAGGGGGTAGAGAGTCGAGAGGGGAGCTGAAGGCACGGTCAAAGAGACGCCCAACCTCTTCACTCCCCAATCCCCCAACCGGCGCCTCCGCTCGACTAGCACTGGCCTCCTGTTTGTCCCTTGCACCCTCCAACCCCACCATCTGAAGTTCCGCTTTCAGCCACTACGCCCCAAAACTCTGGACCACTCTCACTCAATCCCTCCGTCTTGACCCCTCTCTCCACTTTATTTCAAAACCCCCTGAAAACCTTCCTCTTCGACCATGATTACGGCCTCCACTGGGACAGCTAGGGGAACTTGATCCAACTCTCCTAACACTTCAACATTGGGATTCACAGGGGGAGCATAGACATCTCCCCTCCTTATGCTAATCCAGAGCCCCAAAGAAGATAGACAGTGGATCGTGGCTGACAAGAGACCACAAAAAAAACAAGAAAATGAAGAAGATGAAGGACCCGATAAAGGGGAAGTAGCTGGAGTTGAAAAGGATGCTCATGACCAAGGCAGAAATTGACAGACTGCTTGCCAAACCCCAACCCCATCCGCCCATTAAGTACCCAATCGTGAGTGGGGGCGGGGGAGTCTGGAGTTGGAGCGTCACAATCAAGGTAACTGGTAAAAACAGCATAAGATGTCTCTGAAGGTAGGTACCCTAAACATGTGCAGCTTGGCCAAAGACAGAGAGAACTGAGGTTAGCAGACTTGCCTTCAGGACAGGAGGCAAATCTGAAGGCAGGAGGATGGTGGGTGAGGGAGGAGGAGGGCTACAAGAGCATTGCTGTGTCAGTAATAAAACAAGACAATGAAATAACAATCGAACGTGAGTCACAATCAAACCACTGGGTTATCAATGTACGTACAGCAAAGCCTCAATCCCCTCAAAGGAAAGCAACGATTTGACAAAGGACCTTCTGCTCCATTAGAGAGAGACAGAGAAGAGAACCATAGTCATGGCCTTCACTGGGCAGTATGAACTAGAGAGTCAGGAGAACTTTGAACCATTTATGAGAGCTATTGGTGAGTGTCTGGGCTGACGACAACAACTTGCATTTATATAGCTCCCCTCATGCAGGGTCCCAGAGCGCTTGACAGTGGTGGAGCACAACACCGAGCCGGGGGAAAGGGGGGTTGACCCTAGGTCGAAGAGGAAGGTCATCAGGCGCAACTTGAAGATGGGGAAGGAGGGGACAAGGTGGAAGGATTGAGAGAGAGTGTTCCAGAATTTCAGGGTGTATTGGCTGCAGTGTTGGGGGGGAGGGGGGAGCACTGCAACGTTTGATGTGACACTTCATTTCACGGCTGTTTGTGGGACATTGTTGTGCGCAAATTGGCTACTTATGCTCAACTATAAAATACATAGCAATATTCCATGCATCCCTTCTACACGTGGAAATTCTCATGTATTAGAATGGAATGTACACTATTTCCTTGGAGAGCTGAATGCCGCTTATCTAATTCCGAAGAGTACCAGGCATCCTCTGACAAGATCCAAGGCTTGAGGACCCAAGAGCGTGTGATGGGGTACCTGCTGAAGTTTAACCAGTTAAAGCTGCACAGCTTGCCATTGAGAGAACTGTCTGGCAAGCTTTACCGCTGCTTGTCCAGCTGGGACCACACTACCCGTTAGGAATCAGCAAACCCAGGGTTTGATCAAAACTTAATGAATGTGTCAAACCGTGCGCAATAGATAGGATTGCGATGGCATTCAATCTATCCTGGATCATTGTTGATCTGAGTTTAAGAACATACACAGAGCAACTGCTATATTTAAAAATGTGAGACTAACGTAGATATATGCATTGGATATTGCAGAACAGATACGTCGTGTGCAATGAATTATACAGTGGGCAAATTAGTAAAAATAGTATGTGTGTGTGTTGGGGTGTGTTTGTGGGTGAGGCGGGTTGGGGGGGGGCAGTAACCCAACCCAGTGTTATGAAATCTAGACCAGGAACCAACCAAACAGAACCAAATCCAGCCCAGAGAAGGGCAAAACAACCCAACCCATCCAAACAACACAAGTCTTTACCTCCCGGTTTCGCAAACAGCCATGGAGTGAGTAATCAATTTTATCTGGGGATTGTTTGCACCTTCTCTTTACGAATAGCACCATGGGATCCTTACCATTAACAATAACAATTTGCATTTATATAGCATCCCAGAGCACTTGACAGTGGTAAAGCATGACACTGAGCTCATGGGCAGGTGACCCTAGGCACAGCTGAAGAGTCTAAGAGTCTTCAGGCGGAACCTGAAGATGGGGAAGGACGGGGCAAAGTGGCTGAAAGTACAGCCACCGATGGTCAAGCAGGAGGCCAGAGCCAGTCGAGTGGAAGCAACGGGTAGTGGGTTCAGGAGTAAGCAGGTTGGAGAGGTAGGAAGGTGCCAGAGCATGAAGGGATTTGAACAGGAATAGATGGATCTTTGTTTAACATTTCATCTGACAATCCAGCATATCAGCAATCTTGCAACTGTGCCCCCACCAGCTGCCCACCACCAAACTGAAGGATATTTGTTGCCCTGTTTGGCAGTTTTGTGGTGCTCCAGCAAAGCACTATCAATCCCTTCTGAAGCATCAGCCTGGCTCAATTGGTAGCACTATCTACTTTCAGTCAGAAGGTTGTGGCTTGAAGTCCTACATTAGGACTTGAAACCCATATAGCCTAGCCTGAAACTCAAATGGAATGCTGGGGTTCCATCCTTCAAATGAGATGTTAAACCAAGGTCCCCTTTGCCTGTTCAGGTGGATGTTAATGGTCCCATGGCACTAACCAAAAAGAGAAAGGAGTTTCTCTCTCCTGGGGTCCTGACCGACAATCCCGCAAATATAATTGATTACTCACTTCATGGCTCTTTGTGGGATGTTGCTGAGTGCAAATTGTCTGCCACATTCACCCACAAAAACACACAGTCACTTCACTTTACAGTATATCATAAGAACATAAGAATTAGCAGCAGGAGTAGACCATTCGGCCCCTCTAGCCTGCCCCGCCTTTCAATAAGATCATGGCTGATCTATTCTAACTCCACCCACCCGCCTTATCCCCATATCGCTTAATCTTTTTATCCAGAAGAAATCTATCAATCTCAGTCTTGAATACGTTCAAGGACTGAGAATCTACAGCCCTTTGGGGTAGAGAATTCCATAAATGCACTACCCTCTGAGTGAAGAAGTTTTTCCTCAAGTCAGTGCGAAAGGGCTTACCCCGAATTTTAAGACTGTGACGCAACACGTCAACGAGTTTACTCTGGGGAAAGAGGCAATGATTCATACCTTCACAGTCTGTTATAGTTTCTCCAACCAGGGAAAAAGTCTCCCACTATCTATTCTGTCATGCACCTTAATAATCTTATAGGTTTCTATAAGATCACCTCTCATTCTTCTATATTCCAGAGAATATAGGCCTAAATTACTCAACCTATCCTCATAACTCATCGACCTCATCCCTGGTACCAACCTAATGAATCTACATTGTAACTCCTCCAAGGCAAGTACGTCCTTTCTTAAATAAGGAGACCAAAACTGCACACACAGGTGTGCTCTCACCAGGGCCTTGTACAGTTGCAGCAAAACTACCCTAATCTTATATTCTAACCCTTTTGTAACAAATGCCAACATACTGTTAGCCTTCCTGATTGCTTGCTATACCTGTAAAATAACTTTTGTGACTGGTGTACAAGGACACCCAAGTCCCTCTGAACGCTAACACTATCTCGTCACTCCCCTTCTAAAAAATAATCTGCTCTTCTGTTTTTCTCACCGAGGTGGATGAATTCACACTTCCCTACATTATACTTCATCTGCCACCTATTTGCCCACTCACCTAACCTATCTATATCTCGTTGCCTTTTTCTAATGTCATCCTCGGTGTTTAGTCTCCCTGCTAGTTTAGTGTCATCCGCGAATTTAGATATATTAAGTTCGATGTCCTCATCTAGATCGTTGATGTGGATTGTAAATAGTTGAGGCCCAAGCACTGATCCTTGTGGCATTCCACTAGTCACATCCCGCCAATCTCAGAAGGATCCATTTATCCATACTCTTTGGTTTCTTCCCGTCAGCCATTCTTCAATCCATGTTAATATATTCCCCTTAATTCCATGGGCCCTAATCTTGTGGATTTCCTGTAAAGCACTTTGAGACATCTCAACGACATGCTAAGATGCTACATCAAATGCAAGAATTATTATTTAGTATTTTGAGATTTTGTAACAACGTGAAAAGGCGCTGTATCAAATGTAATATTTAAACGTAAATATGTAAATGTAATAATATTTATTCTGCTCCATTGGAAAAAGTCCTTAATTGTTGTGTTAAGAAATCCACAAATAAATACAATAACAACAAATTACATTTTTATAGCACCTTTCACGTCAAGAGGGCATTCTAAGGCGCTGGTTAGTCAAGGTTTTGGACCTGAGCAGGGAGTTGGGATCAGGACGGTTGGAAGGTAGGGAGGGTCGGGCAGGAGGGTGACTGAAGGCGGGGTCGAAGAAGATCTTGAAACTTGCCTTGAAGGAGGCAAGGGAGGGAGTGAGGTGAAGGGACCTTGGGGAGGAGTTCCAAAGGGTGGGGGCAGAGACGCAGTTGGCCTCACCGCCGATGGTGGGAGGAAGCAGACAGGTTAATATGGACTTAGGTAAATAGGTACAATTGACCATTTGAAATGATGATCTGTTTATTTCTAGGTCTCACAAATGAAGACATTGAGCAAACTAAGGCCATTGGCTGGGTGACCAATATCATCCAAGAAGGCGACCATTTCAAAATGATCACCTCATTAAGCAATACGCAACACGTCAACGAGTTTACTCTGGGGAAAGAGGCAATGATTCATACCTTCACTGGAAAAAAGTTCAAGGTAACTTACCTCAATCACGTGACTCCAAACATTCATCTGAGACTTGATGCCAGGGCACGCCATGCTTCATACAGCCATAGATATTCACAGCACAGAAGATAGTCATTTGGCTAGTGAGAGGCGAGGTATGGAGATGGCATTTCAAAATCTCCTCCCATACCAACAGCTAAAAATTAAATGCATGACAAGAACTTGAATTTACACAGCGCTCTTCACACAGGGCAATGTCTCAGAGCGCTTAAACAATGGCGGAGCATGACATTGAGCCGGGGGGAGGGAGGTGGTGACCTTAAACTCAGTCAAAGAGGAAAGTCTTCAGTCATGATCTAAAAGAGGAGAAAGAGGGGGCAAGGTGGAGGGATTGCGGGATAGAGTTCCAAAGCTTTGGTGTGCAGTGGCTGAAAGCACGGCTGCTGATGGTGGAGCAGAGGGGACGAAGGATGAGCAGGAGGCCAGAGCTAGTGGAGAGAAAGCAAATCATAAAGGTAAGGAGGTCTCAGAGTGTGAAGGGATTTGTAGATGAGTGAGAGGATCTGGAAATCGATTTGTTCTATGACAGGGAGCCAGTGGCGAGGAAAAATGTGAAGGGCCTACTGAGTTAGTGTGGGTTTACTGACATCACTTCTGCACGCAATCTTTTAAAAAAATCACAGGACTACGCATAGTTTTTATTATCTTTTTTCTGTAATCAAACTCCCTTTCCTTCCTGAAGTCTTTGTCACGTCTCTCTCACTTCTCGCTCTCTGTAACCCTCTCTATGTTATTTGTTAGGATGGGCTCTTGTTTAACCATACTTACAGTCACCTCCTCTCTCACCTGCCTCGGTGTTAGGCTCCACCACTGTTAAACGTTCCGAGCTACTCTGTATGAAGGCACTAAATATATCCTGTTGTGTTGTTATAAGGTTTCTCTCTGGTCTTATTCAGAGTAATCCTTAAAAATCATAGAACCAAATCTACATGTCAGCTTCATGTCACCCCGTTTTGGTTAATAATAATCCTTGCACCTCAGGCGCTGACACCATCAGCATCCAAGGCTGCACTCTCCACCTCTCAAAGCCAGTCAGGAACCTCGGCGTTTTGTTCGACCCTGAGCTGTCCTTTCTCCCTCACATCCGCACCACAACTGGCACCGCCTTCCATCACCTCCGGAATATCGCCAGACTACGGCACTACCTCACCCCTCACGCTGCTGAAACCCTGGTTCACGCCTTTGTCACCTCAAGGCTGGACTATGGGAACTCTCTCCTCGCCGGCCTTCCCGCCACTCCCTCCACAAGCTGCAGGTCATTCAGAACTCTGCAGCTCGTGTACTGTCCCGCACCAGGCTTCGGGACCACATCACTCCCACCCTCGCTCGCCTCCACTGGCTCCCCATCCTCCAGAGGATTGATTTCAAGATCCTCATCCTCACCTACAAGGCCATTCACGGCCTCGCTCCCTCCTACCTCTCTGACCTACTATCCCCTACCTACCTGCCCGTACCCTCCGTTCCTCTGGCTCCGGTCTGCTCCACGTCCCCCGCCCCAACCGCCCTACCATCGGTGGTCGGGCCTTCAGCCTCTCAGCCCCGAGGCTCTGGAACTCTATCCCCAGTGCCTTCGCCGCCTCCTCCCTTTCCTCCTTCAAGGCCGGTCTCAAAACCTTTCTCTTTGACCGAGCCTTCAGCTCCCCTCTCGACTCTCTTCCCCCTCCTCGCTCCCTCCCTTCCCTCCCCTCACCCTGACCATTTCCCCCCTCCTCGCCCCCTCCCTTCCCTCCCCTCACCCTGACCATTTCCCCCCTCCTCGCTCCCTCCCTTCCCTCCCCTCACCCTGACCATTTCCCCCCTGCTCGGGTCATGACCCAACTGTGCAGCGCCTTGGGACGTCCTCCTGACGTGAAAGGCGCTTTATAAATGGAATCTTGTTGTTGTTGTTGCATTTGATTCAGCACTTTATCCTGTCATCAAGACATCTCAAAGTGCTTCAAAGGATTTTACTGTCACTGTGTATTTTGCAGGCGAAAGTGGCAGCCAGTTTTGCACATAGCAATTTCCCACAAACAATTGACTGACTGATTTAACTGGAGGATTGTCGATCAGGACATTGTGAGAAACTCTCTTCTCTTTTTCAGTAGTGCCACGGGATCTTTAACATCCGCCTGAACAGGCAGAGGGTACCTTGTCTCATCCGAATGACGGCACCTCTGTTAATGCAGCTTTCCCCCAGCACTGCATTGGAGTGTTAGCCTAAACTACAGGAGTTCCAAATGGAGCTAGTTTGGGACTTGAGCCCACAACCTTCTGAATCAGGGGCGAGAGCGCAATCGACTGAGCCAGATTGACACCTGAGAAACATTATGAAATGTTATTGTAACGAAACAAAATGATGAAGCGTTGCATAGTTGTGTTAAGGCTGAGACCAGGTGAACTTATAGACCTCAAACAGATCTGTACCAAGGTGGATGGGGAAGTGGGGATAAATAATACAAATAATAAATAATATTCCTTATATTTGATGTTGAACAATTCCAAGTCATCAAGTCCTCTCAAAGCGCTTCAACTGTACTGTTACTGGAAAGTGTAGTTGCATTCAATGTGCCCACAGCAATGTCCCACAAGTTAACGATGAATTTTATGGGTCAGGATTATTGTCCAGGACAGGTAAAGTGTAATGTCTGTGTACTTTGTAATAATCCTTGCTTTTAATACAGTGCATTAGCACATCATCGAGACGTGTCAAAGCGCTTCGCAGTGTAAAGTGGTTTTGACTGTATATTTTGTGGGCGAAACGCTGCAGCCAGTTTGTGCACAACAGTGTCCCACAAACAGCCATGAAGTAAATGACCAATTTTATTTGGGATTTGTTGACAAGGACACTGGGAGAAAAGTGCATTGGAACTCGTGGAGTCCTGTAGCTCAATGTCCAGGACTGGTAAAGTGTTGTGACTGTGTATTTTATAATAATCCTTGCATTTGATATAGTGCCTTAGCACATCATCGAGACGTCTCAAAGCGCTTCGCAGTGTAAAGTGGTCCCGATATGCTTGAACCCACAACCTCCTGACCCAGAGGCGAGAGCGCTACCACTGGTCAGGCAGTCAACCAAAATAGATCTTCCTCAGTGTATTGAAGTGGCCTCTCCTGAAGCCATATGAACACATGAATGACTGAGCTCTATATTCCTCACCAAGGTAACGGTCAACTCTGATGGACCCACTAGACTGATCGGACAAATGGACAACGTGAAGACTGTCACCGAGCTGAAAGGGAACAAATTGATTAGTGTAAGTTGCTGTTGAGAGGAATGGCTGGGGAAAGTTGGATGGACGTGGATGAGGTTGGGGAGCAGGACTCCTGGTGAGCCTTTGCTCAGCTCCTCGTGGCTGATTGTCAGTGTGTGCAATGCCAAGTCTGTGGAATACATCAGCCCTCAAACATTGGAAAGATTAGGTTCCAATGGGAGGCACTTCGGGAGCTGAGTCATGGCCTGAAATTCCACGTCGTCTCAGTCTTATAGCCCATAGGGTGGGGGAGGGGGGAGAGTACGGGTGGGGTGGTGGGGAATCCTCCTGGGTCTAGATTTCCTCTGATATTTTTGACATTTCACAGCGTCCCAAATTTGTTAGTATTTTAAAATCAGCTTTACTTTTTGAAGCCGTCTTTCCTATTGAACTGTGCTTTCGGACTCATACACCGCCCCATCCCGCCCACCCACCCCCACACCTCCACCCACCCGAGCTTGTCTCCTACTCCTGTCTTGGGTGCCCAGTCACAAGTGCTTTGGGACATGCTGCCAATGTGAAAGGCAGCAGCACTCTTTCTTTCCAGCATCCTGGGATGTCTTTCCGATATGCAGTGTTATTTGTTGTCGTTGTTGAGTCAGAAGGTTGTGGGTTCAAGTTGCACTTTTGGGACTTTGAGCTGCCAGTCTAGGCTGATGCTCCAGTCCAGTGCTGGGGGCAGTACTACATTGTCAGAGTCGCTGTCTTTCTAATGATACGTTAATAATAATCCTTGCGTTTGGTATAGCGCCTTATCACATCAGAAGGACATCTCCAAGAAATTCTGAAATCCCATAGTGTAATGGGTAACACACTCGCCTCGCAACCGAGAGGACCTGTGTTTGATTCCTGGGTAGGGCGAAAACTTAGGCAAGTTTCCATACCCTACATGCTTCTGTTTACCTCACAGTAATTAGGGACCCCGTTGTTAGTCGTATCGCTTTCCGAAAGTAATAATCCCTTCCCACCAAAGAAAATTGAGGTGAGAGTGTTACCACTGAGCCAGGCTGACACTAAACTGAGGTCCCACCTACCGGTGGATGTTAAAGATCCTATGGCATTATTGGAAAAGAGAAGAGAGTTTCTCTCTCCTGCTGTCATGGCCCACAATGCCCCAGATAAAATCGGTCATTGACTTTATAATAATAATAATAATTCTTGCATTTGATATAGCGCTTTTCACGTCTTCTATTATTGTTTTTTTTTCTTGAGGGATTATTATCAGGCAGAATAAGTAATGGAGCAAGGAAACTTCCCCAAGGTTTCACTCTGCTGGGAATCAAACCCAGGTCTCTCGCTTGCAAAACAAGTGCTCTAACCACTGAGCTACAGGAAACCACAGACTTTATGACTATTTGCGGGGCATTACTGCATGAAAGCTGGCTGTCATGTTCCCCTACACAGTACACAGTTACTACTTCATAATATTTTGGTCACCTTCCTCCCCCTCCCACTGGCTCGGCCCCGGGATCTGTTATTGTGAAGCTCTCTGAGACGCCGTCTGGCGTTGAGGGCGTTATATAAATCCAAGTTGTTGTTATTTTATCATCTCGTTCCAGACAATGACTGATGGAGATATCGTCTACAAGTCTGTCAGCAAAAAGGTCAAGTGAAAGGGACATTGTGTAATTAATTGCACAACACTTTCTGTTAAAATAAAACTACCAATTCTACTTCAGTATAGTACAACGTTACGTCAGATTAACAAAAAGAACAACAAAATTACATTTGTATCGCGCTTTTCACATCGGGAGGACATCCCAAAGGGCTGGACAGTCAGTATTTCGGACCCGAGCTGGGGGTCGGGATTGGGGAGGTTGGAGGGCGGGGGGGAAGCAGGATGATTGAAAGCACCATCGAAGAGGAGGGTCTTAAGATAGGTCTTGGTCAGGCGCTGACAGCATCAGCATCCAAGGCTGCACTCTCAACCTCTCAAAGCCGGTCAGGAACCTCGGGGTTCTGTTCGACCCTGAGCTGTCCTTTCTCCCTCATATCCGCGCCACAACTGGCACCGCCTTCCATCACCTCCGGAATGTCGCCAGACTACGGCACTACCTCACCCCTCACGCTGCTGAAACTCTGGTCCACGCCTTTATCACCTCAAGGCTGGACTATGGGAACTCTCTCCTCGCCGGCCTTCCCGCCACCTCCCTCCCTCCACAAGCTGCAGGTCATTCAGAACTCTGCAGCTCGTGCACTGTCCCGCACCAGGCTTCGGGACCACATCACTCCCACCCTCGCTCGCCTCCACTGGCTCCCCATCCCCCAGAGGATCGAATTCAAGATCCTCATCCTCACCTACAAGGCCATTCACGGCCTTGCTCCCTCCTACCTCTCCGACCTACTATCCCCTACTTACCTGCCCGTACCCTCCGTTCCTCTGGCTCCGGTCTGCTCCACATCCCCCGCCCCAACCGCCCTACCATCGGTGGTCGGGCCTTCAGCCTCTCAGCCCCAAGACTCTGGAACTCTGTCCCCCAGTGCCTTCGCCGCCTCCTCCCTTTCCTCCTTCAAGGCCGGTCTCAAGACCTTTCTCTTTGACTGTACCTTCAGCTCCCCTCTCGACTCTCTACCCCCTCCTCGCTCCCTCCCTTCCCTCCCCTCACCCTGACCGTTTCCCCCTTGCTTGGGTCCTGACCCAACTGTACAGCACCTTGGGACATCTTCCCGAAGTGAAAGGCGCTCAATAAATGGAATCTTGTTGTTGTTGTTGTTGTCTTCAAGGAGGTAAGGATGGGGGTGAGGAGGAGGGACTGTTGGATGGAGTTCCTGAGGGTGGAGGCAGAGTGGCTGAAGGCCCGCCTGCCAAAGGTGGGCAGGGGATGTGAAGAAGGCCAGAGCCCGCTGAGCGGAGGGAGCTGGAAGGATTGTAGGGGCTCAGGAGGTTGCAGAGGTAGGGTGATGCAAGGCCATATAAGGGTTTGAAGGTGAGGACCAGGAATTTGAATTGTATCCTCTGAGTGATGGGAAGCCAGCGGAGTCAAGCAAGGATGGGGGTGATAAGGTCACAGAGCCTGGTACGGGAGAGGACACCGGCTTCAGAGTTCTGGATGACCTGCAGCCTATGGAGGGAGGAGTTGGGGAGGCCAATAAGCAGTGAGTTTGCATAGTAAAGCCTGGATGTTCTGAATGCATGTGTGAGGGTTTCAGCGTCCTGCGGTGGAGCCAGGCGATGTTGAAGAGGTGAGGAAAGGCAGAGCGGGTCATGGCTTGGATGTGGGAGAGAAAGGATAGTTGAGGGTCAAACAAGACGCCAAGGTCCCGGACTGGCTTAGCAAGGTGGAGTGTGCATCCTTGGATGGTGATGCTATCAGCGCCTGAAATGCGGAGGCTCTGACAGCAGCCAATCAGGAGAGCCTCGGTCTTGTTGACGTTCAACAGAAGAAAGTTCACTCTCATCCAGGACTTGATGTCTGACAGACATTCTGTCAGGACAGCAGTGGTCCTGGAGTCAAGAGTGAGGGGGAGAGGTAGAGTTGGGTGTCATTTGCATACATGTGGAATTTGACCCCGTATCTACGGATGATGTCACCAAGAGGGAGCATATAGATATTGAAGAGTGACAGGGCAAGACAGACCAAGGACGGAGCCTGAGGAACGCTGCACAAGACTGTGCAGTGGCTTGGAGGAGAAATTGTTTATGGAGATGAAATGGAGGCAATGTGAGAGGTGTGGTCTGAACCAGTCAAGGACAGAGCCATGAAGGTTGAGGTGAGATGTGAGGTGGTAGATGAGGATAGAGTAGTCAACGGTGTTGAAGGCAGCAGCGAGGTCAATGAGGAGAAGCAGGCAGAGGGAGCCCTGGTTGCAGATGGACAGAATGTCATTTGTCACTTAGACCAGGGCTGTTTCTGTGCTATGGACGGCAAGGAAACCCGATTGGAGGGGTTCAAGAAGGGAGTGGCAGGAGAGGAAGGAGCGAAGCTGGGAAGCAACGACTGCCTCTAGGACCTTGGAAAAGGAGAGGGAGGTTGGAGATGGGACTGTAGTTTGAGAGCAGGGTTGGGTCCAGTCAAGGTTTTTTAAGGATAGGAGTGATGATGGCCGTTTTTAAAGGACTGGGAATAGTGCCAGTGGACTTGGAGAGGTTTATGATGTCTATGAGTAGAGTCAAGGAGGTGGAGCTGGAAGGTAAGGAGAGGGGTAGGGATGGGGTCGAGATAGCAAGTGGTTGGTTTCATGCAGGTTATATTGGTGGTGAGAGAGGAGTGGGAAACAGTTTCAAAGGTGTGGAGGGAGGGATGGGTAGGGGCCAGAGTGGGAGGGGGAAATGTGAGGTGGTAGTAGACAGAAGGACAAGGCAGCTGAGTGGATCCCTCAACTTTGGATTCAAGGAAGTCCAGCATCGCCTCTCAGTTGGCAATGGAGATGAGGATTGGTGAAACGTGAGAGTGTGGGCATAGGATTCGGTTGGAGATGGAGAAGAGGAGCCTGGGCTTGTCCTTGGCCTCCAAGATTGTTTTGGAGTTAGAACGACGATTTAAAGGAGGAGCGATAAGAGATGATAACATCCAGCCAGATCTGCTGATGCACCATTAAGCTTGATTCAAGCCAGATGCATTCAGCGGCATGCACCTGTGCTTTCAGGGAGTGGAGGTGGCTGATGTACCATAATGACTTTTGTGAATAGGAGATGGTTTGGGAAGTAAGGGGGGCAAGGGAATCGAGAGGGGTGGAGAAAGAGTTGTGGAGAAGAGTGACCAAGGAGGATAGGTCATTGCAGGAGGAAGCCCAGAGGTTCAGATGACTCCAAGGCAGGTTGAGGGGGTGACTGTGGACATGGGTTGCAGAGTGGATGTGGAGGAGAAGTTGAGGGAGGAGATAAGGGAGGAGAATTCAGCAGAGGTATAGCAGGAGGGGTTGAAATGAAGGTTTAATTCGCCTAAGATGAGGACATGTTCAGAGCAGAAGGGAGAGAGAAGATGTGGGGTATGATGGAAGATGTAGCTGTGTGGTTTGGTCTCTATCAGGGGAAGGTGTCGCCTGGAGTGATCCCATTTTCGGTGATGGCGAAAATGTCGATGTTATTGTCGACAATGAGATCTTGGATGGTGAGTGTTTTATTGGAGAGGGAGCAGACATTTTGTTGGCCGATGCAGAGGGGACAGTTGGTGGCAGAATGTGGGGTCAAGGGGGGGAGGGGAAGGACTGACAGGGTGGGTGGGGCTGTGGATGAGGGAGGAGAGGTTGGCCCCGGGGATCAGGGCCCGATGGCCTTTGCGGCGAGACTGGGGCATAGGGCAGTCAGAGTGTTTGGTGTTAGACAGCCAGCAGCATCTGCCACGGTGGGCCCAATGGAGGATTCGCAGGGTGGAGCAGAGGGAGGCTGCGGACAATCGAGCAGGGATAGGAGTTGGGGAGGGCGGTGGGAGAGGACCGCAGAAGTAATGCAGGGTAGAGCATTTTGGGGAAGCTGCTTGAGTCACTGGCAGCAGTGAAAATTTGTACACCAAGACCAAGAGCGAATGGGTGGGGAGGGGGGCAGCGAGGCATGGTTAACCCACTGGCGTGGGTTATCGTGGGGAGAGTGGCACAATCTTATAGTCCCAGTGAGTTCAAGATGAGAAATTCAAATTAACCTCTCTGAGCACTTCACAGAGATAGTGGGCAGACCAAAGGGGAAGGATCAAGGGGAGGTGATGTAGGCAGGTCGACGAGGTAGATTTTCAAGTGGGATTAGAGTAGGGCGGGTGGTCCGGACAAAGGGGAAGAGGGACGGAGTTCAGGAGTTCAGGGCATAGTTGCTTATGGTTCATTCATCTGCCAATGGTAGAAAAATTTGATGATTCTCTTTTCCTATAGTGTGCCCTGGAATCTTTAACATCCGCTGGTAGATGGTACCTCAGTTTAGCACAACTCTCGCCTCTGACTCAGAAGGTTGTGGGTACAAACCCCACATGAGGTCTTGGAATCGCACAGTCTAAGATGGCATTCCAATGCAGTGCTGGACACTCGGGTGTTGCATTGTCGGAGGTGCCGTCCTTTAGATGAGACGTTAAACTGGGGTGGGTGAGAAGCACAGGGGACCCTGAGTTAGCTGAGCAGAGGGGAACGAGCAGAGGAATAGGGCTGGAGGAGATCTGGTGAGGGTGACGTGAGGACCTTGAAGTCAATCAGTGGGGAAACATGGAGCCAGCAAAGCTTGGCAGGACTGGGTGATGAGGCAGCAGAGTTTGATGATAATACTAATAATCCTTGCATTTGACATAGAGCTTTTTCACATCTTCTAGACGTCTCAAAGCGCTTCACAGAATATGCTGTAAAGTGAATTGACTGTTATTTGTGGACGAAACACGGCAGTCAATTGCGCACAGCCGTATCCCACAAACAGTCGTGCATTGAAAATGACCAATTTATTATTGTTTTGTTTTTTGGAGGGATTGTTATTAGGTATGTGGAGTAAGGAAACTTGCCCAAGGTTTCGCTCTGCCTGGAATTGAACCCAAGTATCTCGCTTGCAAGGCGAGTGCTCTAACTACTGAGCTGCAGGACTCCACGAACATAAGCAGCTGAGTTTTGCGTTGGTTGGAGATTAATTCTACTGCAAATGGCTTTTGTCTCTTTGCTTATGTATTGCGATGCATATTCAACATCAAATAAAAATGATTACAAAATCATCAAATCGTTTTGTTGGTCAGATGGGCGTCTGAACCATATGGAAACCCTTCACCGTGCTTAAGATCGACCAAACTACGAGAGTTCCACATGCACGTGTAAATTTTCCCGGGTCTAGCAGTGGAGTGCGCTCTCTCTCCCATGGAGGTTCGCATCCTGCTTACCTAATCCCAGAGAATACATTGAAAAGGGCAGTTTAGCATCAGAGGCTTGAGGACAAGCAACAACACCTTGCCCTTCATGCAGGACAGCGTCTCAGAGAGTTGCACGCTGGTGTGGTTGGACGCCAAGCAAGGCAGATGGGGAAGATGGCCGTAATCACGGTCGGAAAGGTAGGTCTTCAGGTCGGACAATTTATATTTATGTAGCGGTTTTCATGCCGGGAGGACGTTCCAAAGAATCACTGTGCTGGAGGAATAAAGAGGGTCGAGGCAAAACGATTGAGCTAGGAAGTTCTGGCTCAGGTATATTGAAGCCTCTGGTATATTGAAGCCTCTTCCCACAAGGTGTAGTGACTGAGGGAATGGTCACATGAGGGAAAGTGGTGAGAGAGTGGCCAAGCTTTACTGTCTTCCTGTCTCAGTGGATCAACTTCAAGGTCCTCACCTTCGTTTCACCCACAGTCAATCCACTTTAGGGTATATCCTGTGAAGCGCTTTGAAGTGTCTCAGCAAAACGATAAGGCACTGTATCAAATGCAAGAATTATTATTATTATCTGGGAGGATTGTTGACCAGGACAGATAAAGTGCAGTGACTGTGGGTTTTGTAGTTAAACAGCATAAATTACAACACATTAATAATAATCTTGCATTTGATATAACGCTTTTCATGTCGGGAGGATATCCCAAAGCGTTTAAGCTCTCCGGGACGATAGCCAATGTGAAGGGCGTTTTGTATATGTAAGTTGTTGTTGTTTGACGCTGCACCCGAGCTGGGGGTTGGAGCCGGGGGTAGGTGGGTGATCAGGAAAAGATCTGTCTCAAAGTAGCAAAATGTGGGAACCAACTAAGTGGTCTACTACTACTTTCTGTTTGAAGATTTCAATGACTGAGTGAGCACTTTATTCCTTACCCAAGTAACAGGAGCACTCCTTGTGATTCAGACTTAACCTTTATCCTCTGACCAAGGTCACCCACTGACTGCTGAGCGTCATCCCTCTATTTTTTAAAAATCTATCAGTCTGAAGGCTGAGACTGAAAGATTTTTAAAAAACAGAGTGAATAGCGGATATGTGGATAGGGCAGGTAATTAGAGTTAAGTCTGAAGATCAGCCATGATCTTATTGAATGGTGGGGCAGGCTCGAGGGGCCGAATGGCCTACTCCTGCTCCTAATTCTTATGTTCTTATGTTCTTATTGCTCAGTTCCTGGTGGCTGATTGTCAGCGCGTGAGATGCCGAGTCAGCACATTGAGCCAGCACTCAAACGCTAGAAAGATAATAATCCTTGCATTTGATATGGCAGCTTATCACATCTTCGAGGCGTCTCAAAGCATTTCACCGAATATACTGTAAAGTAAATTGACTGCATATTTCGTGGGTGAAACGCGGCAGCCAATTGGGCCCAGCAGTGGCCAACAAACAGTCGTGGTTTGAAGTGACCAAGTTTCTTTTTTAAGGGATTATGACTAACAACTTGGTTCCTACTTACTACTGGATAAACAGAGGCACGTGGAGTAAGGAAACCTGCCCAACGTTTCACTCTGCCTGGGAATCGAACCCAGGTCCTCTCACTTATGAGGTGAGCGCTCTAACAATTGAGCTACAGGACTCCAAAAGATAATCGTCTGATGGGGGGCACTGAGCAGGCCTGAAATTCCATCTAATCTTTTTTCTTTCCATCCCACCGGTATGCGACATGCGACAGGAAACCTGTCTCTGTACTTAAAAGTCTCTTAAGTGTGTGTTTGATATGGCAACTGTCTCAAAGCTCTTTGCAGGATTCACTGTAAAGTGTCGTGAGTGAAGTGTAAAATAAATTTAAAAAATTATGATGTGTTCACTCAATCCATGACTGTTTGTGGGACACGACTGTGTGCAATTGGCTGCCACATTTTGCCCAGAAAATAAACAATATCTTTTTTAATATATGTTGTGCTCTCTCGAGGACATGATCAGGCACTATATCAAATGAAAGGATTATTATGTTATTATTAATGCTCAGTAAATGTTTGGTATCATTCCAGATAATGAAAATTATCTCATTCCAGATAAGGAAAATCGGACCACTCATGTATAGAAGCGTCAGCAGAGGGATCAGCTGTACAAAAAGCAAAGGGCGCTGCGCGATTATTGCAGTGTTGTGTGTAAAAATAAAACTACCACTACCTGAATTTGCCCCCTAAACTTCATGCAGGATAACAACAACAACTTGCACTTATATAGAGTCCTCCACACAGGGTAGCATCTCAGAATCTTAACAGTGGCAGGCGGAGTCTGAATCCGAGCCGGTGGTTGGGGATGGGGAGAAGGTGGCCGTAAGCACGGTCGAAAAGGAAGGTTTTCAGGTGGGACTTGAATAAGAGGAGATAGGGGCAAGGCGAAAGGATTGAGGGAGTGTGTTCCAGAGCTTCGGGGTGTAGTGGCTGAAAGCGCAACCTCCAATGGTGGGGTGGAGGGTGCAAGGACAAGCAGGAGGCTCGTGCCAGTCGAGCGGAGATGTCAGGTGATGGATTGGGGTGTGAGGATGTCAGAGAGGTAGGGAGGTACCAGGGAGTGAATGGATTTGAACAAGAGTGTGAAGATCTTGAAGTCGATCCATTCGGTGAGGGAGCCAGTGGAGCCTGGCAGAACTGGTGACATGTGGGTACAGAGTTTAGTCCGGGTAAGTATGTGGGCAGCAGAGTTCTGAATGAGGTGGATCTTTTGAAAAGTGGAGCTGAGGAGAACGGCTAGGAGTCAGTTTGAGTAATCCAAGTGGGAAGTGACAACGGCATACACCAGGGTTTCAGCTGCATTTTGGTTAAGGTGCGGTTTAACCAGGCAGTGGTTAAAGGCTTGGTCTCTGATGATGAGGTGGACAGGGGTCAACAACAACGAACAACAAATTCCATTTATATAAGCACCATTCACATCGGGAGGATGTCCCAAGGTGTTGAACAGTGAAGGATTTGCCCGAGCTGGGGATGGAATCAAGAGGCATGAAGACCTTGAGATGGGCCACAAAGGAGGAAAGCGAGTGGGTGAGGTGGAGTGGCTCTGCGATGGGGAGGTGAGAGCAGAAAGACTAAAGTCCCGACCAACGATGGTGGAGCAGGCAGGGCAGGTGTTGTGAAGCAAGTGAGTGCCAACCATGTGGAGGGTGCGGACACATTAGTAAAGATTTCACAGGTCACAGAGGTAGGGAGGAGCAAGACCATGGAGGGCTTTAAGAATGAGGAGAAGGATCTTGAACTCGGTCCTCTGGGGGATGGGGAGCTCTCATCCAGGACTTGATGTCTGGCAGACAGTCTGTCAGGACAGCAGTGGTCCTGGAGTCGAGGGTGGAGGCAGAGCGATACATGTGGAAGTTGACCCCACGTCTGCGGATGGTGTCACCAAGAGGGAGCATGTAGAAAGGATAAGACCAAGGACAGAGCCCTGGGGAATGCTGTATATAATGGTGCGAGGGCTGGAGGAGAAGCCATTGATAGATGTAAAGGGGAGTCGATGGGAAAGGTAAAAACAACAACAACAAAATAACATTTATAGAGTGCCTTTTGCGTCGGGAGGACGTCCTCCCAAAGTGAAAGGCGCTCTATTAATGTTATTTTGTTGTTGTTGTAAGAACAAAACCAGGCAGAGAAAGAACCATGAAGGTGGAGCTGAGAGGTGAGTTGATAAAGAAGAATAGAGTGGTGAAAGGCAGCTGAGAGATCAAAAAGAATGAGAAGACAGAGAGAGCCCTAATCACAAATGGACACAATGTCATTTGTAACTTTGACCAAGGCTGTCTCTTTACAAGAGATAGGACGGAAACCAAATGGAGTGGTTCAAGGAGCAAGTGGTGGGAGAGGAAAAACCTAAACTGGGAAGCAACGACTCATTCCAGGATAACTGGTCACTCTAAGGAAAAATAGCTCAGTGACAAGTCATCAGGAGCGACAAGTTAGGCATATATATAAGTACATAATAAATGAGGCCAGGAGATTGACCCTGGCTTAGTTTAACTTGTCGTGACAAGTTAGAGTGAGGGTCGAGTTATTAGGAGTTTACAGTATTTTATTTTGTAATGGAATGCATTTTCTCTCCCACCAAAGGCAAGCATCCAATCCCAGAAATTATTAGCCTCAGATTGGCAAAAAGCCCTAGATGTGTGTTTGTGGGTGTAACAGCTGGAGTTTAACTGGTTAATACAGTTTACCATTGAGAGCACTGCCTGGCAAGCTTCTCACCGGTTGTCCAGCTTGGACCATGCTACTGTTTAGGGCTTTGGCTTGCAGGTTTAGCAGGAGGTGCACACTTCCCTCTTGTCAGAAAAGCAATTGTTCACCACTACTCTTTGCTTTCTGCTAACCAGTTCCTTTTTAAATGTTCTATTGATTCAGCCGGACATCTGTCTTGAAATTTTCCAGCAGGGAGGGGGAGGGGATAGAAACTTCCTTTTCTCCTACGGATCTAAACAGCTCAATCTCCCTGGGCTCTTCCTCAAACTCACTGAACCAGTTCGCAACCTCGGCATCCAGTTCGATCCCCAACTGTCCTTCCACACCCCCCATCACATCTGGTCCCTGCCCGGGACATCCTTCTTCCATCTCCGCCGTATTGCCCATCTCCGACTTTACATTACCCCAAATGCTGCCGAAACCCTCGCACATGAGTTTGTCACCTCCAACGCACTCCTCTCCGATCTCCCCAGCTCCACCTTTCACAAGATTAAGTTCAATCAAAACTCTGCTGCCTGCATAGTGACCTGGACCAAACTCTGTACCCACATCTCACCAGTTCTGGCTTGGCTCCACTGGCTCCCCATCACCGAATGGATAGACTTCAAAATCCTCACACTCAAATCCATTCACTCCCTGGCACCACTCTACCTCTCCGACTTCCTCACTTCCCAATCCACCATCCAGCGCCTCTGCTCGATTGGCACCGGTTCCAGCTCATCCCTCACACCCTCCACCCACCATTGAAGGTTGTGCTTTCAGCCACTATGCCCCAAACCTCTGAAACACTCTCCCTCAATCCCTCCGCCTTGCACCCTCTCTCCCCCTGTTTCAAGTTCTGCCTGAAAACTTTCCTGTTCAACCGTGCTCATGGCCACCATCTCCCCCCAGCCAAGAGTCAGACTCCGCCACTGTTAAGTGCTCTGAGATGCTATCCTGTGTGGAGGTCGCTATATAAGTGTAAGTTGTTCTCGTTGCTGTTTTCTTTTCAAGTTGTGTTGCGGGATCTTTAATGTCCATCTGAACAGGCACAGAGGGGACTTCAGCTTAATTTCTCATCCAAAATACGGCATCTTCAACAACGGAGCGCTCCCCCCAGCACTGCACTGAAGTGAAGGTGTAGACAGTGAGTTCAGAGCCTCAATGTAAAGCTTGGACCCCACGAACTTCTGACTCTCAAGCAAAAGTGCTACTGACTGAGCCAAGCTGCCAAATAATAATGATCCTGACATTGAAACACTTTATGGGAAATTGTTGTGAAGTGTAGTGACTGTTTCGGTGTCATGTATGCGGATGATACACAAATCTACTTTGCCTCCTCCAGTACCAACTCCAGATCTGCCGACGTTCTATCAGTGTGTCTGACAGACATCAGGATCTGGATCAGTGTAAACTTCCTGCAGCTGAATGTGGACAAGTCGGAAGCCATACTCCTTGGCTTCCGTCAACGTCTTCACTCCTGCGGATCTGAACTCCTCAACTTCCCTGGGCTCTGCCTCAGACTCACCAAGCCAATGCACAATCTAGGCATCTGGTTTGACACCCAGCTGTCCTTCCTCCCCACATCCAGGACCGCGTTCTTCCACCTCCACCGCATTGCCTGCCTCCGACCATACCTTACCCCAAATGCAGCCCAAACTCTCATGCATGCATTTGTCACCTCCTGCCTGGATTGCTCAAACTACCTACTCGCCGGTCTCCCCAGCTCCACTATCTAAAAGATCCAGCTCATTCAGAACTCTGCCGCCCACATAATGACCTGAACCAAGCTCCGTAACCCCATCTCACCAGTTCTGGTCAGCCTCCACTGGCTCCCCATTACCGAACGGATCGACTTCAAGATCCTCAAACTCGTGTTCAAATCCCTTCACTCTCTGGCACCTCCCTACCTCTTCAACAACAACAACAAGATTCCATTTATTGAGCGCCTTTCACGTCGGGAGGACGTCCCAAGGCGCTGTACAGTTGGGTCAGGACCCGAGCAAGGGGGAAATGGTCAGGGTGAGGGGAGGGAAGGGAGGGAGCGAGGAGGGGGTAGAGAGTCGAGAGGGGAGCTGAAGGCACGGTCAAAGAGACGCCCAACCTCTTCACTCCCCAATCCCCCAACCGGCGCCTCCGCTCGACTAGCACTGGCCTCCTGTTTGTCCCTTGCACCCTCCAACCCCACCATCTGAAGTTCCGCTTTCAGCCACTACGCCCCAAAACTCTGGACCACTCTCACTCAATCCCTCCGTCTTGACCCCTCTCTCCACTTTATTTCAAAACCCCCTGAAAACCTTCCTCTTCGACCATGATTACGGCCTCCACTGGGACAGCTAGGGGAACTTGATCCAACTCTCCTAACACTTCAACATTGGGATTCACAGGGGGAGCATAGACATCTCCCCTCCTTATGCTAATCCAGAGCCCCAAAGAAGATAGACAGTGGATCGTGGCTGACAAGAGACCACAAAAAAAACAAGAAAATGAAGAAGATGAAGGACCCGATAAAGGGGAAGTAGCTGGAGTTGAAAAGGATGCTCATGACCAAGGCAGAAATTGACAGACTGCTTGCCAAACCCCAACCCCATCCGCCCATTAAGTACCCAATCGTGAGTGGGGGCGGGGGAGTCTGGAGTTGGAGCGTCACAATCAAGGTAACTGGTAAAAACAGCATAAGATGTCTCTGAAGGTAGGTACCCTAAACATGTGCAGCTTGGCCAAAGACAGAGAGAACTGAGGTTAGCAGACTTGCCTTCAGGACAGGAGGCAAATCTGAAGGCAGGAGGATGGTGGGTGAGGGAGGAGGAGGGCTACAAGAGCATTGCTGTGTCAGTAATAAAACAAGACAATGAAATAACAATCGAACGTGAGTCACAATCAAACCACTGGGTTATCAATGTACGTACAGCAAAGCCTCAATCCCCTCAAAGGAAAGCAACGATTTGACAAAGGACCTTCTGCTCCATTAGAGAGAGACAGAGAAGAGAACCATAGTCATGGCCTTCACTGGGCAGTATGAACTGGAGAGTCAGGAGAACTTTGAACCATTTATGAGAGCTATTGGTGAGTGTCTGGGCTGACGAAAACAACTTGCATTTATATAGCTCCCCTCATGCAGGGTCCCAGAGCGCTTGACAGTGGTGGAGCACAACACCGAGCCGGGGGAAAGGGGGGTTGACCCTAGGTCGAAGAGGAAGGTCATCAGGCGCAACTTGAAGATGGGGAAGGAGGGGACAAGGTGGAAGGATTGAGAGAGAGTGTTCCAGAATTTCAGGGTGTAGTGGCTGCAGTGTTGGGGGGGAGGGGGGAGCACTGAAACGTTTGATGTGACACTTCATTTCACGGCTGTTTGTGGGACATTGTTGTGCGCAAATTGGCTACTTATGCTCAACTATAAAATACGTAGCAATATTCCATGCATCCCTTCTACACGTGGAAATTCTCATGTATTAGAATGGAATGTACACTATTTCCTTGGAGAGCTGAATGCCGCTTATCTAATTCCGAAGAGTACCAGGCATCCTCTGACAAGATCCAAGGCTTGAGGACCCAAAAGCGTGTGATGGGGTACCTGCTGAAGTTTAACCAGTTAAAGCTGCACAGCTTGCCATTGAGAGAACTGTCTGGCAAGCTTTACCGCTGCTTGTCCAGCTGGGACCACACTACCCGTTAGGAATCAGCAAACCCAGGGTTTGATCAAAACTTAATGAATGTGTCAAACCGTGCGCAATAGATAGGATTGCGATGGCATTCAATCTATCCTGGATCATTGTTGATCTGAGTTTAAGAACATACACAGAGCAACTGCTATATTTAAAAATGTGAGACTAACGTAGATATATGCATTGGATATTGCAGAACAGATACGTCGTGTGCAATGAATTATACAGTGGGCAAATTAGTAAAAATAGTATGTGTGTGTGTTGGGGTGTGTTTGTGGGTGAGGCGGGTTGGGGGGGGGCAGTAACCCAACCCAGTGTTATGAAATCTAGACCAGGAACCAACCAAACAGAACCAAATCCAGCCCAGAGAAGGGCAAAACAACCCAACCCATCCAAACAACACAAGTCTTTACCTCCCGGTTTCGCAAACAGCCATGGAGTGAGTAATCAATTTTATCTGGGGATTGTTTGCACCTTCTCTTTACGAATAGCACCATGGGATCCTTACCATTAACAATAACAATTTGCATTTATATAGCATCCCAGAGCACTTGACAGTGGTAAAGCATGACACTGAGCTCATGGGCAGGTGACCCTAGGCACAGCTGAAGAGTCTAAGAGTCTTCAGGCGGAACCTGAAGATGGGGAAGGACGGGGCAAAGTGGCTGAAAGTACAGCCACCGATGGTCAAGCAGGAGGCCAGAGCCAGTCGAGTGGAAGCAACGGGTAGTGGGTTCAGGAGTAAGCAGGTTGGAGAGGTAGGAAGGTGCCAGAGCATGAAGGGATTTGAACAGGAATAGATGGATCTTTGTTTAACATTTCATCTGACAATCCAGCATATCAGCAATCTTGCAACTGTGCCCCCACCAGCTGCCCACCACCAAACTGAAGGATATTTGTTGCCCTGTTTGGCTGTTTTGTGGTGCTCCAGCAAAGCACTATCAATCCCTTCTGAAGCATCAGCCTGGCTCAATTGGTAGCACTATCTACTTTCAGTCAGAAGGTTGTGGCTTGAAGTCCTACATTAGGACTTGAAACCCATATAGCCTAGCCTGAAACTCAAATGGAATGCTGGGGTTCCATCCTTCAAATGAGATGTTAAACCAAGGTCCCCTTTGCCTGTTCAGGTGGATGTTAATGGTCCCATGGCACTAACCAAAAAGAGAAAGGAGTTTCTCTCTCCTGGGGTCCTGACCGACAATCCCGCAAATATAATTGATTACTCACTTCATGGCTCTTTGTGGGATGTTGCTGAGTGCAAATTGTCTGCCACATTCACCCACAAAAACACACAGTCACTTCACTTTACAGTATATCATAAGAACATAAGAATTAGCAGCAGGAGTAGACCATTCGGCCCCTCTAGCCTGCCCCGCCTTTCAATAAGATCATGGCTGATCTATTCTAACTCCACCCACCCGCCTTATCCCCATATCGCTTAATCTTTTTATCCAGAAGAAATCTATCAATCTCAGTCTTGAATACGTTCAAGGACTGAGAATCTACAGCCCTTTGGGGTAGAGAATTCCATAAATGCACTACCCTCTGAGTGAAGAAGTTTTTCCTCAAGTCAGTGCGAAAGGGCTTACCCCGAATTTTAAGACTGTGGACCCGGGTTATAGTTTCTCCAACCAGGGAAAAAGTCTCCCACTATCTATTCTGTCATGCACCTTAATAATCTTATAGGTTTCTATAAGATCACCTCTCATTCTTCTATATTCCAGAGAATATAGGCCTAAATTACTCAACCTATCCTCATAACTCATCGACCTCATCCCTGGTACCAACCTAATGAATCTACATTGTAACTCCTCCAAGGCAAGTACGTCCTTTCTTAAATAAGGAGACCAAAACTGCACACACAGGTGTGCTCTCACCAGGGCCTTGTACAGTTGCAGCAAAACTACCCTAATCTTATATTCTAACCCTTTTGTAACAAATGCCAACATACTGTTAGCCTTCCTGATTGCTTGCTATACCTGTAAAATAACTTTTGTGACTGGTGTACAAGGACACCCAAGTCCCTCTGAACGCTAACACTATCTCGTCACTCCCCTTCTAAAAAATAATCTGCTCTTCTGTTTTTCTCACCGAGGTGGATGAATTCACACTTCCCTACATTATACTTCATCTGCCACCTATTTGCCCACTCACCTAACCTGTCTATATCTCGTTGCCTTTTTCTAATGTCATCCTCGGTGTTTAGTCTCCCTACTAGTTTAGTGTCATCCGCGAATTTAGATATATTAAGTTCGATGTCCTCATCTAGATCGTTGATGTGGATTGTAAATAGTTGAGGCCCAAGCACTGATCCTTGTGGCATTCCACTAGTCACATCCCGCCAATCTCAGAAGGATCCATTTATCCATACTCTTTGGTTTCTTCCCGTCAGCCATTCTTCAATCCATGTTAATATATTCCCCTTAATTCCATGGGCCCTAATCTTGTGGATTTCCTGTAAAGCACTTTGAGACATCTCAACGACATGCTAAGATGCTACATCAAATGCAAGAATTATTATTTAGTATTTTGAGATTTTGTAACAACGTGAAAAGGCGCTGTATCAAATGTAATATTTAAACGTAAATATGTAAATGTAATAATATTTATTCTGCTCCATTGGAAAAAGTCCTTAATTGTTGTGTTAAGAAATCCACAAATAAATACAATAACAACAAATTACATTTTTATAGCACCTTTCACGTCAAGAGGGCATTCTAAGGCGCTGGTTAGTCAAGGTTTTGGACCTGAGCAGGGAGTTGGGATCAGGACGGTTGGAAGGTAGGGAGGGTCGGGCAGGAGGGTGACTGAAGGCGGGGTCGAAGAAGATCTTGAAACTTGCCTTGAAGGAGGCAAGGGAGGGAGTGAGGTGAAGGGACCTTGGGGAGGAGTTCCAAAGGGTGGGGGCAGAGACGCAGTTGGCCTGACCGCCGATGGTGGGAGGAAGCAGACAGGTTAATATGGACTTAGGTAAATAGGTACAATTGACCATTTGAAATTATGATCTGTTTATTTCTAGGTCTCTCAAATGAAGACATTGAGCAAACTAAGGCCATTGGCTGGGTGACCGATATCATCCAAGAAGGCGACCATTTCAAAATGATCACCTCATTAAGCAACAGGCAACACGTCAACGAGTTTACTCTGGGGAAAGAGGCAATGATTCATACCTTCACTGGAAAAAAGTTCAAGGTAACTTACCTCAATCACGTGACTCCAAACATTCATCTGAGACTTGATGCCAGGGCACGCCATGCTTCATACAGCCATAGATATTCACAGCACAGAAGATAGTCATTTGGCTAGTGAGAGGCGAGGTATGGAGATGGCATTTCAAAATCTCCTCCCGTACCAACAGCTAAAAATTAAATGCATGACAAGAACTTGAATTTACACAGCGCTCTTCACACAGGGCAATGTCTCAGAGCGCTTAAACAATGGCGGAGCATGACATTGAGCCGGGGGGAGGGAGGTGGTGACCTTAAACTCAGTCAAAGAGGAAAGTCTTCAGTCATGATCTAAAAGAGGAGAAAGAGGAGGCAAGGTGGAGGGATTGTGGGATAGAGTTCCAAAGCTTTGGTGTGCAGTGGCTGAAAGCACGGCTGCTGATGATGGAGCAGAGGGGACGAAGGATGAGCAGGAGGCCAGAGCTAGCGGAGAGAAAGCAAATCATAAAGGTAGGGAGGTCTCAGAATGTGAAGGGATTTGTAGACGAGTGAGAGGATCTGGAAATCGATTTGTTCTATGACAGGGAGCCAGTGGCGAGGAAAAATGTGAAGGGCCTACTGAGTTAGTGTGGGTTTACTGACATCACTTCTGCACGCAATCTTTTNAAAAAATCACAGGTCTACGCATAGTTTTTATTATCTTTTTTCTGTAATCAAACTCCCTTTCCTTCCTGAAGTCTTTGTCACCTCTCCCTCACTTCTCGCTCTCTGTAACCCTCTCTATGTTATTTGTTAGGCTGGGCTCTTGTTTAACCATACTTACAGTCACCTCCTCTCTCACCTGCCTCGGTGTTAGGCTCCACCACTGTTAAACGTTCCGAGCTACTCTGTATGAAGGCACTAAATAAATCCTGTTGTGTTGTTATAAGGTTTCTCTCTGGTCTTATTCAGAGTAAACCTTAAAAATCATAGAACCAAATCTACATGTCAGCATCATGTCACCCCGTTTTGGTTAATAATAATCCTTGCATTTGATTCAGCACTTTATCCTGTCATCAAGACATCTCAAAGTGCTTCAAAGGATTTTACTGTCACTGTGTATTTTGCAGGCGAAAGTGGCAGCCAGTTTTGCACATAGCAATTTCCCACAAACAATTGACTGACTGATTTAACTGGAGGATTGTCGATCAGGACATTGTGAGAAACTCTCTTCTCTTTTTCAGTAGTGCCACGGGATCTTTAACATCCGCCTGAACAGGCAGAGGGTACCTTGTCTCATCCGAATGACGGCACCTCTGTTAATGCAGCTTTCCCCCAGCACTGCATTGGAGTGTTAGCCTAAACTACAGGAGTTCCAAATGGAGCTAGTTTGGGACTTGAGCCCACAACCTTCTGAATCAGGGGCGAGAGCGCAATCGACTGAGCCAGATTGACACCTGAGAAACATTAAGAAATGTTATTGTAACGAAACAAAATGATGAAGCGTTGCATAGTTGTGTTAAGGCTGAGACCAGGTGAACTTATAGACCTCAAACAGATCTGTACCAAGGTGGATGGGGAAGTGGGGATAAATAATACAAATAATAAATAATATTCCTTATATTTGATGTTGAACAATTCCAAGTCATCAAGTCCTCTCAAAGCGCTTCAACTGTACTGTTACTGGAAAGTGTAGTTGCAGTCAATGTGCCCACAGCAATGTCCCACAAGTTAACAATGAATTTTATGGGTCAGGATTATTGTCCAGGACAGGTAAAGTGTAATGTCTGTGTACTTTGTAATAATCCTTGCTTTTAATACAGTGCGTTAGCACATCATCGAGACGTGTCAAAGCGCTTCGCAGTGTAAAGTGGTTTTGACTGTATATTTTGTGGGCGAAACGCTGCAGCCAGTTTGTGCACAACAGTGTCCCACAAACAGCCATGAAGTAAATGACCAATTTTATTTGGGATTTGTTGACAAGGACACTGGGAGAAAAGTGCATTGGAACTCGTGGAGTCCTGTAGCTCAATGTCCAGGACTGGTAAAGTGTTGTGACTGTGTATTTTATAATAATCCTTGCATTTGATATAGTGCCTTAGCACATCATCGAGACGTCTCAAAGCGCTTCGCAGTGTAAAGTGGTCCCGATATGCTTGAACCCACAACCTCCTGACCCAGAGGCGAGAGCGCTACCACTGGTCAGGCAGTCAACCAAAATAGATCTTCCTCAGTGTATTGAAGTGGCCTCCCCTGAAGCCATATGAACACATGAATGACTGAGCTCTATATTTCTCACCAAGGTAACGGTCAACTCTGATGGACCCACTAGACTGATCGGAAAAATGGACAACGTGAAGACTGTCACCGAGCTGAAAGGGAACAAATTGATTAGTGTAAGTTGCTATTGAGAGGAATGGCTGGGGAAAGTTGGATGGACGTGGATGAGGTTGGGGAGCAGGACTCCTGGTGAGCCTTTGCTCAGCTCCTCGTGGCTGATTGTCAGTGTGTGCAATGCCAAGTCTGTGGAATACATCAGCCCTCAAACATTGGAAAGATTAGGCTCCAATGGGAGGCACTTCGGGAGCTGAGTCATGGCCTGAAATTCCACGTCGTCTCAGTCTTATAGCCCATAGGGTGGGGGAGGGGGGAGAGTACGGGTGGGGTGGTGGGGAATCCTCCTGGGTCTAGATTTCCTCTGATATTTTTGACATTTCACAGCGTCCCAAATTTGTTAGTATTTTAAAATCAGCTTTACTTTTTGAAGCCGTCTTTCCTATTGAACTGTGCTTTCGGACTCATACACCGCCCCATCCCGCCCACCCACCCCCACACCTCCACCCACCCGAGCTTGTCTCCTACTCCTGTCTTGGGTGCCCAGTCACAAGTGCTTTGGGACATGCTGCCAATGTGAATGGCAGCAGCACTCTTTCTTTCCAGCATCCTGGGATGTCTTTCCAATATGCAGTGTTATTTGTTGTTGTTGTTGAGTCAGAAGATTGTGGGTTCAAGTTGCACTTTTGGGACTTTGAGCTGCCAGTCTAGGCTGATGCTCCAGTCCAGTGCTGGGGGCAGTACTACATTGTCAGAGTCGCTGTCTTTCTCATGATACGTTAATAATAATCCTTGCGTTTGGTATAGCGCCTTATCACATCAGAAGGACATCTCAAAGAAATTCTGAAATCCCATAGTGTAGTGGTTAGCACACTCGCCTCGCAACCGAGAGGACCTGTGTTTGATTCCTGGGTAGGGCATAACCTGAGGCAAGTTTCCTTACTCTAAATGCCTGTTTACCTAACAGTAATTAGTCGATTGGCGGATCGCTTTCCGGAAGTAATAATCCCATTCCACCAAAGAAAATTGAGGTGAGAGTGTAACCTCTGAGCCAGGCTGACACTAAACTGAGGTCCCACCTACCGGTGGATGTTAAAGATCCTATGGCATTATTGGAAAAGAGAAGAGAGTTTCTCTCTCCTGCTGTCATGGCCCACAATGCCCCAGATAAAATCGGTCATTGACTTTATAATAATAATAATTCTTGCATTTGATATAGCGCTTTGCACGTCTTCTATTATTGTTTTTTTTTCTTGAGGGATTATTATCAGGCATAATAAGTAATGGAGCAAGGAAACTTCCCCAAGGTTTCACTCTGCCGGGAATCAAACCCAGGTCTCTCGCTTGCAAAACAAGTGCTCTAACCACTGAGCTACAGGAAACCACAGACTTTATGACTATTTGCGGGGCATTACTGCATGAAAGCTGGCTGTCATGTTCCCCTACACAGTACACAGTTACTACTTCATAAATTTTGGTCACCTTCCTCCCCCTCCCACTGGCTCGGCCCCGGGATCTGTTATTGTGAAGCTCTCTGAGACGCCATCGGGCGTTGAGGGCGTTATATAAATCCAAGTTGTTGTTATTTTATCATCTCGTTCCAGACAATGACTGATGGAGATATCGTCTACAAGTCTGTCAGCATAAAGGTCAAGTGAAAGGGACATTGTGTAATTAATTGCACAACACTTTCTGTTAAAATAAAACTACCAATTCTACTTCAGTATAGTACAACGTTACGTCAGATTAACAAAAAGAACAACAAAATTACATTTGTATCGCGCTTTTCACATCGGGAGGACATCCCAAAGGGCTGGACAGTCAGTATTTCGGACCCGAGCTGGGGGTCGGGATTGGGGAGGTTGGAGGGCGGGGGGGGAAGCAGGATGATTGAAAGCACCATCGAAGAGGAGGGTCTTAAGATAGGTCTTGGTCAGGCGCTGACAGCATCAGCATCCAAGGCTGCACTCTCAACCTCTCACATCCGGTCAGGAACCTCGGGGTTCTGTTCGACCCTGAGCTGTCCTTTCTCCCTCATATCCGCGCCACAACTGGCACCGCCTTCCATCACCTCCGGAATATCGCCAGACTACGGCACTACCTCACCCCTCACGCTGCTGAAACTCTGGTCCACGCCTTTATCACCTCAAGGCTGGACTATGGGAACTCTCTCCTCGCCGGCCTTCCCGCCACCTCCCTCCCTCCACAAGCTGCAGGTCATTCAGAACTCTGCAGCTCGTGTACTGTCCCGCACCAGGCTTCGGGACCACATCACTCCCACCCTCGCTCGCCTCCACTGGCTCTCCATCCCCCAGAGGATCGAATTCAAGATCCTCATCCTCACCTACAAGGCCATTCACGGCCTCGCTCCCTCCTACCTCTCCGACCTACTATCCCCTACTTACCTGCCCGTACCCTCCGTTCCTCTGGCTCCGGTCTGCTCCACATCCCCCGCCCCAACCGCCCTACCATCGGTGGCCGGGCCTTCAGCCTCTCAGCACCGAGGCTCTGGAACTCTATCCCCCAGTGCCTTCGCCGGCTCCTCCCTTTCCTCCTTCAAGGCCGGTCTCAAAACCTTTCTCTTTGACCGTGCCTTCAGCTCCCCTCTCGACTCTCTGCCCCCTCCTCGCTCCCTCCCTTCCCTCCCCTCACCCTGACCGTTTCCCCCCTGCTCGGGTCCTGACCCAACTGTACAGCGCCTTGGGACGTCTTCCCGAAGTGAAAGGCGCTCAATAAATGGAATCTTGTTGTTGTTGTCTTCAAGGAGGTAAGGATGGGGGTGAGGAGGAGGGACTGTTGGATGGAGTTCCTGAGGGTGGAGGCAGAGTGGCTGAAGGCCTGCCTGCCAAAGGTGGGCAGGGGATGTGAAGAAGGCCAGAGCCCGCTGAGCGGAGGGAGCTGGAAGGATTGTAGGGGCTCAGGAGGTTGCAGAGGTAGGGTGATGCAAGGCCATATAAGGGTTTGAAGGTGAGGACCAGGAATTTGAATTGTATCCTCTGAGTGATGGGAAGCCAGCGGAGTCAAGCAAGGATGGGGGTGATAAGGTCACAGAGCCTGGTACGGGAGAGGACACCGGCTTCAGAGTTCTGGATGACCTGCAGCCTATGGAGGGAGGAGTTGGGGAGTCCAATAAGCAGTGAGTTTGCATAGTAAAGCCTGGATGTTCTGAATGCATGTGTGAGGGTTTCAGCGTCCTGCGGTGGAGCCAGGCGATGTTGAAGAGGTGAGGAAAGGCAGAGCGGGTCATGGCTTGGATGTGGGAGAGAAAGGATAGTTGAGGGTCAAACAAGACGCCAAGGTCCCGGACTGGCTTAGCAAGGTGGAGTGTGCATCCTTGGATGGTGATGCTATCAGCGCCTGAAATGCGGAGGCTCTGACAGCAGCCAATCAGGAGAGACTCGGTCTTGTTGACGTTCAACAGAAGAAAGTTCACTCTCATCCAGGACTTGATGTCTGACAGACATTCTGTCAGGACAGCAGTGGTCCTGGAGTCAAGAGTGAGGGGGAGAGGTAGAGTTGGGTGTCATTTGCATACATGTGGAATTTGACCCCGTATCTACGGATGATGTCACCAAGAGGGAGCATATAGATATTGAAGAGTGACAGGGCAAGACAGACCAAGGACGGAGCCTGAGGAACGCTGCACAAGACTGTGCAGTGGCTTGGAGGAGAAATTGTTTATGGAGATGAAATGGAGGCAGTGTGAGAGGTATGGTCTGAACCAGTCAAGGACAGAGCCATGAAGGTTGAGGTGAGATGTGAGGTGGTAGATGAGGATAGAGTAGTCAACGGTGTTGAAGGCAGCAGCGAGGTCAATGAGGAGAAGCAGGCAGAGGGATCCCTGGTTGCAGATGGACAGAATGTCATTTGTTACTTAGACCAGGGCTGTTTCTGTGCTATGGACGGCTAGGAAACCCGATTGGAGGGGTTCAAGAAGGGAGTGGCAGGAGAGGAAGGAGCGAAGCTGGGAAGCAACGACTGCCTCTAGGACCTTGGAAAAGGAGAGGGAGGTTGGAGATGGGACTGTAGTTTGAGAGCAGGGTTGGGTCCAGTCAAGGTTTTTTAAGGATAGGAGTGATGATGGCCGTTTTTAAAGGACTGGGAATAGTGCCAGTGGACTTGGAGAGGTTTATGATGTCTATGAGTAGAGTCAAGGAGGTGGAGCTGGAAGGTAAGGAGAGGGGTAGGGATGGGGTCGAGGTAGCAAGTGGTTGGTTTCATGCAGGTTATATTGGTGGTGAGAGAGGAGTGGGAAACAGTTTCAAAGGTGTGGAGGGAGGGATGGGTAGGGGCCAGAGTGGGAGGGGGAAAT